CCCTCCCCACCCCCACTCCAACGGGTGTTTTGGGGAAGTTCCTCTTAAATCAGAAGAAGTTTCAGTTTCTAGCGTGTTGGAGGTTGCTTTTTAAAGAGGCCTCTGTGCCCAGGGCCTGCCCGGCACCAGGAGCTGGGGGCTGGGAGCCTGGATGCCTGGCTTCTATCCTGATTCTGGGAGGAGAAGGGGGTGGTTGGGTAGGTTAGAAGAGCTGGGACACCTGGGTTCTCTCCCAGCTGTGGGGGTGCAGTGGGATCTAGCTGTGAGATGGGAGAGGGGCTGGGAACCAGGACACCTGGGTTCCATCTGCTACCTGTTGCAGGAAGGGGGTTGAGTCCCAGCCCCTATCCTTGCCTCAGTTTCCCCTGTCTGCATGACACCAGCTCAGCAGGTGCCCCTCACTCCCGTCCCGCAGCACCACCCCCTCTCCCTGGCTGCCTGCTGTTCTCTGTGGCTGTTGGATCCCACCCCAGAGGTGGCTGCATTTCAGCACCCGGGCGGTGGCAGGCAGGGGCAGGGGGCTGGACAGGGCCAGTTGGACCTGGGGAGGGGGGCAGGGGGATCCAGGGCGGGGCAGGGCAGCCAGGGGAGCTGGTGGCTAGGGGGCACTGAGTCACAGTGGAGGGAGGGGGCCTCATGCCCGGTTTCCTCTGCTTCCCTGGCAGTTCCTGTCCTGTGGCAGCGCTCAACTGCTAGTCCCCCCGGGGCCCGGACCCCTGGGTTCTCCCCCAGCTCTGCGAGGTGGGCTGGGGGCGAGCAGAGAGCCCGGGCGCCTGCGCTGTCTCCCCTGTGCCTCAGTTTCCCTCCCTCTCTCCGCCCGGCTTGGGGTGGGGCTGGGGGGCGCCATGGCAACACTGCGCCCATAGAGATGACTCTCCACCTAGCAACGGACACTCCCCCTAGCGACGGATGCTCCCCTCCCCAGCAACGACCCCCCAAAGGGACCCCCAGAGGCCTTGCCGGGCGGAGGGGGCCCGGACGCTTGAATCCCGAGGCGGTGACTCGCGTGGCGACGCTCGCGCGTGGCCCCCCCACCTCCTGCCGGACGCACCTGGCCCCGGAGCGGACGCGGCCGGGACCGGGTGTTTCCTGCAGCGGGAGGGAGGCCCGCCCACAGCGCCGGCTTGGCCCGACGCCGGGGGTCTCTCTAGCTCTAGGAGGGCAGCGGCGTCTACTGGTTGCCGGGGGAGGGCTGGGAGCTTGGACGCCTGGGTTCTCCCCCAGCTCTGGGACGGGACTGGGGTCCCATGGTTATAGGTGCTGGGAGCCCCTGGGTTCCGTCCAGCTCTGGGCCGGGATCCGACAGTGACGCTCCGCACCACGGTGCCGGGCCGTGGCTACCGAGGGCCAGCAGCGCCCCACAGCCCGGGGCCGGGCGAGGAACCCAGGCAACCCGGCGTGCCCAGCTCACCACTGCACCGCGCTCCCTTCCCCGACCCCCCGTGACCCGGCTCCAAGGAGCTACCGGGGACGTGGGGGCTGAGGGGTCAGAGCAGGGGCTAGGGCCTGTGCCCGGACGCCTGGGTTCTCTCCAGCTCGAGGTGGGGCGGGGTGCCAGTGACTTCTAGTGGATTGGAGGGAGGGGCGCGCTGGGATCCCGAACTCCTGGGTCCTCTCCCAGCTCTGGGAGGGAAGCGGGGTCTAGTGGTTAGAGCGGAGGGAGGCTGTTGCCCGGACGCCCGGGTTCTGTCCTCTCTCAGGAAGCCGTGCGGGATCTCACCCTGGCTCCCACTTCAGCCCCCCACCCCCGCCCAGGCCAAACCAGGTCAGAGTTGGCCCCGCACCAAGGGGGGAGGAGGGGTGGCAGCGTTTGAGCACGGGAAGGGGGGCGCTGCCAGGCCGAGGGGCCCGCGCTGGGTCCCTGTCTCCGGCCGCACGAGGCAGCCATGTGCGTGTCCCTCGCTGCCCTCGGCCTGCAGGGATCCCAGGTGTCCCCGCCCCCACCATGCTGCGAATGGAACTCAGGCGTCCGGGCCCCCAGTGTCACCTCTGGAAACCCCCCTGATGTGGAACCCAGGGTTTCCGTCGTGGAAAGAGCACCCCCCCCCCCCATGAGCCAGCCCTTCCAGCCCCGTGGGGCTGAGTCACTGGGACCTGCCCCGTCGGGGTGAGGGGGTGGCGACCAGACCATGGGCCAATGGGATCAGACCTGGGCCTGTCGGACACCTGGAGGCTGCTGGTTACAGCGGGAGTGCGGGGCTGGGAGGCCAGATACCTGGGCTTTCTGGGAGCGGAGTGGGGGTGCAAGCTCGGTTCTGACTTGGTTGGTGGGGAGGTCAGCTGGGGGCCAAGGCCTGTCCTGCTCGGGGCGGAGCCCCGGGAACCATCGGGGCTGCGCTATTCTGGTCTCTGCCCCGCTAAAAATACCCGGCGCTGGAGAGGCTGAGGTGGCTGCAGGCAGGGCCGGGGCGCGGGGTGGCCACGAGGCCCGGGAACCCAGGCGGCTGGGACCTCAGCCCCCCCCTGCTGCCTCTTCGCCCTGCTCCGCCGCGGAGGGGGTGGCCTGGGCCAGTCCGGGGCCTGTCCCGAACTGGGCTGGCCCGGAGGGCAGCTGGGGACGGTTCCGGGGGGCGGGAGCGCAGGAGCCGCTGAGTCACACGAACGACCTTCGCCCCAAGCTCCGCTGGCTCCGGGCTCGCCCCCCGCACCGCCGGTGCCCCTCACTCCCGACCCGCAGCCACTGTCCCGAGCTCGGGGTCAAATGCGGGGGGATATACGGGACGTTCCCATCACCCGCCCGGTCCTAGCCACGTGCCCCCGTTGGCAGGGGGGAGGTTGCTGTCCCCCCCCAGCACTTCCCCTTTCGGGGCTGATAAGATGCTCCCGGCGGCGCCCGCGGTTCAGACGCCGGATCGGGGCCCCCGCACCGAGCAGGTACCGCCGCGAACCTCCCCGCCACCTCGGGGCCAGGACGCCTGGGTTCTTTCCGGGCTCCGCCTGCCTGGGGGGTCGGGCCCCATCCTGGTCGGGGGTCCCGCTGCCTCGGGCGGTCCCTGGCCGCCTTCCCCGGGGCCTGGCGGGGCTCGGCGCCTCCTCGCTTCCCACCGGGAAGCACCTGCCTCCGCACCCGGTGCGCGGGCGAGCTCGATGGGCTGTGACTGGAGAGGCCAGGCGGGGCGTTCCCGGAGGTTGTGGGTGGGGGTAGGTGGAGGCACCGTGGCGGGCTCAGCTCCTATCTCCCCACACCCAGTGCTGCCCGGGCGCAGGGCAGGAAGGGAAACTGAGGCACGGAGCTACGCGAGGGCGGGGAACCCAGGCGTCCTGTCTCTCTCTCGTCTGCCCCCACCCCCACCTTCAGACCTTCTTCCTCTCCCAGCTCTGGCAGGGAACCCAGGCGTCCTGGTTCCTAGCTCCTCCCACTAGACACCCTCCCCTCCCCTCTGGGCAGGAAACCAAGGTGTCCCGGCTGCCAGAGCAAAGAACCCAGGCTTCCCCTCCCAGCACTGGGCAGGGACCCAGGAGTGCTGGCCCCTCACACCGGTCTCCCCCACAGATGGCCCTGACCCTGACTGTGACCCTGGCCGTGGCCCTGGCCGTGGCCCCCACCACAGGCGCACGCCCTGGGCTGCGCTTCCTGGCACTGGGGGACTGGGGGGGTGTCTCAAATCCACCGTACCACACAGCACGGGAGGTGGCTACGGCTGCCGAGATGGGGCGCACAGCTGCTGCACGGGGCACCGACTTCGTGCTGGCGCTGGGTGACAACTTTTACTACAGCGGCGTGCGCAGCGTCACCGACACCCGCTTCCAGGTATGGCCCAGGAGTCTGCTGGTGCTGGGAGGCCAGGGCAAAGGCTTAGACTGGGCCCCTGCTGAGAGCAGGGATGCAGCTGGCTCTGGGTAGCAACAGGGTGTAGAGGGGGGCGGGGTTGACAGGGCCTCTGCTGGGGGCTGAAATGCAGCTGACTTCAGGGGGGAGCTGGGGCAAGGGCTGAGATGCAGCTGGCTCTTGGAGAGGATGTTTATACAGGGCTTAGATGCAGCTGGCTCTTGTGGGGGGGAACCTGGGGGCACTGTTTATCCTTGGACCCCTTGCCCAGGACTGAGCTGCAGCTGACTCTGGGGTGGAGCAGGATGGGGACTGCTGCTTAGACAGCATCCCTGCTGGGTGCTGAGATGCAGCCGGGGAGGAAGATGGCAGCTGGGGAAGAAGATGGCAGGGGCACAGATACAGGGCTCCCTTGCCCAGGGCTGAGATGCAGCCACCTCTGAGGTGGGAAGGGGCTGCTTGTCCAGGGCACCTGATTGGGCCCTGAAAGGTGCAGCTGCCTACAGGGGGCACAGGCTGGGCATCAAATCATCTGCGGGCCCCATCTTGCTGCCCTGGGGGCTGCCAGGCCTCTGCTGTGCTGGGCAGGCAGATGTGGCCTTACCCTGTCTGACCACCTCCAGGACACTTTTGAGTCCGTGTTCAAGGCTGAGTCCCTGCGCAAGGTGCCCTGGTATGTGGTGGCTGGAAACCATGACCACTCAGGCAATGTCTCAGCCCAGATCGCCTACAGCAAGGTCTCCAAACGCTGGTGAGTATCTGCCCTCCCCCCTGCCCCCACAGCTGAAAGTGAAAGGGTTAATAAGGCTGCTTTATCCTGCAGCCCCCTGGTGCCCCCACTCCCGACCTACAGCCCCCCGTCTCTGCCAGCCCTGCTGGTGCCCCTCACTTCTGACCCATAGCCCTCAGGTGCCCCTCACTTCTGACCTGCAGGCCCCTGCCCCCACTCCCGAAATCCTACCTGGTGCCCCTCACTCCCAACCCCCAGCCTCCTGCCCACCACCCAGCCCTGCCACTCTCCCCCGCTGCCAGTGGCAAGAGGGACTGGGAAGCAGGGGATGCTGTGTGTGTGTGTGTGTGGGGGGGGGGAAAGAATCCCTCCCTTAACCTTTGATCTCTGTCCCCTTGCCCAGGAACTTCCCCAACTACTACTACAGCAAGCAATTCCCAGTGCCGGGCTTCAACGCAACGCTGGGGCTGGTGCTGATTGACACGGTGCTGCTGTGTGGCAACACGGACGACTTTGAGGGTGCGGAGCCAGAGGGGCCACAGGATGCGGGGGCGGCGCGGAAGCAGCTGGGCTGGCTGCGGCGGGTGCTGGCCGCCTCCCGTGATGACTACCTGCTGGTGGCTGGGCACTACCCTGTGTGGTCAGTGGCTGAGCATGGCCCCACACGCTGCCTGCTCAAGCACCTGCAGCCGCTGCTGCTCAAGTACCATGTCACCGGCTACCTCTGTGGCCATGACCACAACCTGCAGGTGAGCTGAGGGCATTGGACAGGGGTTGTTTTTTTTGGGGGGGGGGGAGGGGGCTGATGCCAGGGATTTTCTCTGTGGGATGCCCATGGGTGGGTTTGAGAAGCAGAGGTCCTAGGAGTCTGGGCACCCAGCATAGCCCAGTTCTGGCCACTGAACCCCTGAGTGGGATGGTGCTGAGTGCTGGGCTCTGCTCTCACCCCCAGCCCCAACTGCTGTCCCAGAGCTGGAGAGAACCCAGGTGTCCCAGCTCCCAGCAACACCTACTCTCATACTAACATCCCTTGCTCCCATCCCAGAGAGGGGAGAGAACCCATGTGTCTAGGCTTCTAGCATCCTCATCCCCCTTCAGTGGGGGGGAGGGTCTGTAGCAGTCCCTGTATTGGTTGTGACTCACCCCCCATGTCTCCCCCCCCAGCACCTGCAGGACAAGGCAGGTGTGGGCTACGTGCTGAGTGGTGCAGGGAACTTCATGGAGCGGTCACGGAGCCATGCCCGCCGCGTGCCCCCCGGCTACCTGCACTTCTTCTACGGTGAGCCCAGCTCCCTTGGTGGTTTTGCCTACCTGGAGGCCGACGGCAAGGAGCTGAGTGTCACCTACATCGAGGCTGGTGGCAAGGTCCTCTACAAGACAGCCATGCCCCGTCGCACCCACCCCTGAGCACCGCTCGGGGCAGCTGGCTTTGCCCCCCTTGAGCTGAACCAGGACAGCTGGCAGGGGGCAGGGTTCCCACTGCAGTCCCCGCTTGTGGTGGTGTACCAGTTCATGACCCAGTCCTTGTTGTGCCCCCTCCCCCCCCCCCCAAACCCCCCCCACCTGGTGGTGTACCAGTTCATGACCCAGTCCTTGTTTTGCCCCCTCCCCCCCCCCCGAACTCCCATGCAGCTCCCCTAAGCTGCCACCTTGGGGATCCCCCCCAGTTGCCCCCCATGGCTGGGGGGGGGGGGCCCCCGCCCCCCACCCCCCCACCCCATGCAGCTCCCCTAAGCTGCCACCTTGGGGATCCCCCCCAGTTGCCCCCCATGGCTGGGGGGGGGGGGCCCCCGCCCCCCACCCCCCCACCCCAACCCCCATACCCACCCAGTGCAGACCCTTCAGGTACCAGCCCAGCACTGGGCAGGATGAATAGACAGTGCTGCTAGAAGCCTCTGCACTGCTGGATTTTAAACCTGGCTCATGTTTTCCCTCCTCAACCTTCCCCTTTCCCATCCCACCCCCACCAAGCTGGGGGAGGGACTGGATACTGCCATGGGGATCAATAAAGGATGTTCCTATGGAGCCCAGTTGCCTGTGTCTGCTTGGTGGGGAGGGCGGGGGGAGGAAGAGAGGGGGCAACTTGGACATGCCCTGCTGCCTGGGTCCGGACCTCCCACTTCGTAGTGGCTGCCTAGCCCCAGGCAGAGTCCCTGGGGACTCCTGTGCCTGCCCCCCAAACCCCTGTGCCCAGAGCTGACAGGAGCAGAACACAGGGTCCTGGGGAGGTGAGACCCCAGCACTGTGCCCAGCTTAGGGGCCAGCGGGGTTTAACTCTGCTGGCAGGCAAGATCTGCAGGCTCTGAGCTGGGTGGGGGCTGGATCTAGGCACCTCCTCCATCTGTTGCTGGGGCACAGATAAGGCCTGGCCTGGTTCCAGCCTCCCCCCAGCTCCCCTACCTCTTCCCCAGGCCCCTCACTCATTGCCTAGCTCCCAGGGGAATCTCCAACCACCCCAGGTCCTCCAGGGAGATCTCAGAGGGGTTGCAATCCCCCTCCCAGCCCAGCCCTGAAGGAGACAGGGTGGCTGAATCCCCACCCAGCCCAGGGCAGCTGTGTCAGGGGCAGGTAGGTTCTTTCCAGGGGCCTTGGAGCCAAGGCTCTTTGCAGAGAGACTGGAGCAAAGGGGGTTGCAGATACAGGGGGGATGTGAGGGGCTGGGGGGAGGGAGGCTGTAAGCAGGGGTGAGGAGGCCCCTTCCAGGGACACCCTCTGCTGTCCACACTGGGCAGCCATGCTCTGGGCCTGTGGGGACCAATCCCAGGGGGAGTGCAGTTGCAACAGGGGTTTTTCTCAATGCTGGAAGAAAGGGGCTGAGAACAGCCGGCCTGGTTTGGGGACTTATCAGCTGCACAGGGCAGGGCAGATGGCCCTTTATCAGCCAGTCTCCTCAAGCCCCGCCCGTACAGGCACCACCTGGAATAACCCCCGGTGCGTGCAGGGGACAGCACCTCAGAGACTGACCTGGACAAAATGTGGGGAGCACTGGGAGCCAGGGGTCCAGGGTCTCCTGATGTGGGAGCAGAGTGGACCTGGTGCCGTGGCCAGTGTTGGGGGGTTTTGGGCCCCCTCCAGCCTCTAAAGTGTATTTGGGGCAATTGTGACCCCAGTGCCTGCAGCAGAGCCCCACTCAGGCCTGTGCCCAGGGGAGTCGGAACCAGAGAACTCTTGTACAGGCCCCCCGCGGTGCTAGGCTGCAGCCGGCTGGTGGGGGAGGGCAGGTGCTTATACAGGGCTAGCCAGCAGCCAGGGCCTGAGGGGTCTCCCACCGCTATATAGTTCACAGGTGTCCACTTTCGGCTTCTGGGAGCCCCGCCCCTCGTGAGCCCCGCCTCCCGCCTGCCAATCACACCAAATCCCGCAGTCTCATTGGCTGCAGGGGAGGCGGGCCCAGAGCCTTCCTGCTCCTGTTCCGGGGCCGGAAGTACCGGTCTCTGTTGGAAACGCGGCCTAGGTGTGAGGCTGGAGGCAGGTGGGGGCTCGGCGCGACCCCCCTGACCCGGAAGTGTCCCCCCGATCTGGAATTGCGGAGGGGCTGCTAGGCGGGGCGAGCAGGTGTGTGGGGGACGAAGGGGTTAACGCCCAGGCTCCGCCTCCCCCTTATCTGTGAGCCCCATTTGTTCAGGGTGGGCTGAGCCCCTCGGGTCCCGCGGGGGGTGGGGTCCCCTGGCCCGGAGGGCACCTGCATCTGGGGGCTCAGGTCCAGGTCCAGGTCCAGGTCCAGGTCCAGGTCCAGGTCCAGGCTGGGGGCAGGGGGGCTGGATTGTGCCGCCCAGTTTGGGCTGAAAGTGGGGCTGGGCCCTGGTGGGGTGGGAGAGGGAGTTTTGGTTCCTGGAGGTGTTGACCCTGGGCTGGGAGCAGCTCGGCCTGGCTGTGGGGCCAGAGTGTTTCTGGCTTCCCCCATCCCAGGAGAGAAAGTTTGACCACTCTGGTGTGCAGGGGCTCCAGCTCCTGGCCCCCCTCACCCGGTCCTGGGCAGTCCCTTTGCAGTGCTAGTCAGTCTCTGGGTACCCTGGAGCAGGAGTCGCCACTGGTTAGTCGGTGCCTGACCCCCGCCCTGCCTCTGCCCCCAGGCTGGGATGGGGCGCCGGAAGTCAAAGCGTAAGCCGCCGCCCAAGAAGAAGATGACAGGCACGTTGGAGACACAGTTCACCTGCCCCTTCTGCAACCATGAGAAGTCCTGTGATGTCAAGATGTGAGTGGGTGGCGTGATTGGGGGAGGCGGTAGCGAGGTTTCCACGTGAGAGAGCTGATCCTGGGGTGTGGGGCGGAAGTGACAAGGGCCCAGGGTGACCTGGTTGATGCTGGCTGGGCTGGGCAGGAAGGGTTTCCGGGACTTGCTTGTTGGGTGTGACTGGGAGATGCCAGGGCTGATGTGGGGCTGTGGGTGCCCTGCCCTGGACTCCTGGTGTGTTTCAGCTGGGCCTGGAGGATGGGAGGGGCCCAGTGGCCCCCATGGCCTGATCTGGGATGAGAGAACCACGGAGCGGAGCCAAGCCAAGCCCAGACCTAGCTGGGAGTGGGGTGAGTTGTGCCAGTACGACAGCTCTGACTGAGGCGGGCTGGTCCCAGGAGGGGAGGTGGGCTGCAGCCAGCCCTGTGGCCCCTCTTGCTCTGATCAGCATGTGCCTGATGCGTGTTGGCCTTTTGGCTCAGAACAAGTGTAGACCTGTTACCTGGCAGGGGAAATACCATGACCACCAAGGTGGTTTTCCTACTGGCAGGGGGAAACCACACGCGTGGCAGGGGGTATTACCCTGACTGAAGTAATGCATAGTTAACCCCCCTCTTTGACTTACAGTAGGAGGATCTCAACTACATGCCAACTTTATGGAAATGGGAGACTCCTCCCTAGCTTGCTTCTACAGCCATACGGCTGAGGGCAAGCAAAACTCAGGGGCATCCCAACCCCCAGCCTCTGGGCTTGGGCCTACATATAGGATGCCTGCCAAAGGTTTTGGAAGCATCTGAAGCCCCAGGTGGGGCTGGAGGATGCTTGTGGGTAGAAGGGCCACATATAGTTCTTGAATGACTCACATGGATTTGGAATTGATTTGTCTGATTTGACTTGGGACACAACAAATTTTCTGTTTAAAAAAAGAAAAAGCGCCTGATACTTGTGTGTGGCACATGCATGATGTGTGTGGCTGGAACTACAAGGGAGTAGCAGGTACTCATGTGATCCTTTACCTGCAGCCTCTGCTGTCATGGCCCCATGGCATGTGGCTGCCTGTGACTTCCCTATAAGGAATCCCACCTCCCCTGTCCCTGCTTCCCTCTCCAAGTCTCCACACAACTGTACTGAGATCTAAGCAGGCCCCTTCCCTCCCCAGATCCCATCTTCCCTCTTGTCAGCTGGGACTCTCAGGATATCATCTTCACAGATTCACAGAAGTTTAGGGCTGGAAGGGACCTTGTGAGATTATCAGGTCCAGTCCACCTGCTCTGGGCAGGAAAAACTGCTGGAGTCAAATAGCCCCAGCAAGGTGTATGTCCAGTCTTCTTTTGAAGATCTCCAGGGTAGGTGCCTGCACCACCCCTGCTGGGAGCCTATTCCAGAGACTGGTCACATGAACCGTGAAGAAGGTTTTTCCTTTTATCCAGTCTGAAACCTTCTAGGAGTTTATGACTATTGCCCCTAGTTTTCCCCTGGAGTGCTTTGGTGAATAGTTATTTGCCTAGCCCCTGATACCCCCCCCCCCCCCCCCCTCTAAGCTGCCACCAAATCCCCCCAAAGTCTTCTCTTTCCTAGGATGAACAGTCCCATATCTGTCAGCCTTTCCTCATATGGCTTGCTCTTCAGGCCTCTAATCATATGAACTCTTCTCTGGACTCTCTCAAGCTTCTCCACATCCTTTTTGAAGTGTGGTGCCCAGAACTGGATGCAGTACTCCAGCTGCAGCCTCACCAATGCTGAGTAGAGTAGGAAAACTTCCTTAGTTTTGATTCAGATGCATTGGTTGATGCATGCCAGCGTATTGTTTGCTCTGCTAACTGTAGCATCACGCTGGTGGCTCATATTCATTTTGTGGTCAATTATGACCCCCAGGTCCCTTTTGGATGTGGTGCTACCTAGTGTAGCACCACCGAGCCTGTAAGTTTTTTGTGGATTTTTCCTCCCTAGATGGAGCACTTTACACTTTTCTGTTTTGAACAGCATCTGGTTCTGGTCCACCCATTTAACTAATCTGTCTATGTCCTCCTGGATTGTCAGCCTACCCTGATGTGTGGTTGCACTTCCCCAAAGCATAGTGTCATCAGCATACTTTGCCAGTATGCTTTTCACCCCCACATCCAGATCATTGATGTAGATGTTGAAAGGCACCGGGCCAAGTACCCTAGGGTACCCCACTGGCTATCTTCCACCAGGTCGACACAGATCCATCTGTTAGTACTCTCTAGGTCTGACCCACAGCCAGTTTCCCCACCTTCAGTGCCTCAGCCTCACTGCGTCAGGCCAGGCCCTGCAGTTTCACCTCCTCTTTGTTCCCAGGCTGTTGGGACATATGGGGCTGGTGGGGGGTGATGCTGGATTTGTAAGTGGTGCATGTCTCCCTGGGAGAAGCTGGAGGTACAGCAGGTTGGGGGCAATTACCATGTATCCCTGTCAGAGCCGCAGTTCCCTCTGCCTGGGGGTGCTCACGACTGGCCTGCTCTTTGCCTCTGTTTCAGGGACCGGGCTAGGAACACGGGCGTCATCTCCTGCACCGTGTGCTTGGAAGAGTTTCAGACACCCATAACGTGTATCCTTGTGCTGCAGGGCTGAGGGAGGTGGGGGGTGGTCTCAATACAGGGGAGCAGCTTGAATGGGTCTTGTCACCAGGAGTGTCTGGAGGTGTCCTGGTGTTCACTGCCCAGACCCAGGGCTGTGGTGTGGGGAGCTGCTTCCCCCCCAGGACTTCTCCTTTCAGCCTGCCTGGAAATGGGAAGTGTCTGGCAGCAGCAAGGTCCTGGCCAGTCATGCGGGCAGGCAGGTGACACCAGCAGAAAGTCTTGGTCAGGAAGGGCCAAACACCAGAGCCTCTGGGGGGGTAAAAATTAGGGGTGCACCAATAGAGATCTTTTGGGTCGATACTGATAGCCAATTTTTAAGAAGGCATATCAGCCAATACCGATCCAATTTCTGATACACAGCCCGGCAGCTTGAAGAGCTGGTAAGTCTCTTGTGGAAGGGGAGCAGGAAGGGAAGGTATATGGAGGGGTTGGAGATTGAGGGCCCCCGCCCCGCAGTGAGGGAGGGAGTGAGGCAGGAGCTGGGGCAAGTGCTGCCGGGGCAGGGCGGGGCATGGAATAGAGCTGTGGCTCATCCAGGAGGTGCCAGGGAGGCCCACTGTTGCACACACCTCAGGGCATGGTGGGGGTTGCATGCCCCCCAGATGTGTGCAGGGCTGGGCAGTTGCCGCTGCAGGCTGGGGCCAGTGTTGAGCTCTTTCTGGTGGGGCTGGATTGCACTGTGTTCAGGGTGGGCAGCAGCAGCGCTAGGAGGGAGGGCTGCAGGGTCGGGAGCAGCAGCCACCCCAAAATTTGCTGTAGCCCTGTCCCCCCTTCCCAGTGCTGCTGCTGCCCATCCTGAGCCCAGCCCAGCCCACAGTGGCAGCTGCTCCACCCCATGCAGATCTGGGTGGGGGACCCCCTGGCCCCCCCCCATGCTCTCCCTGGACAAGCCACGGCTCCATCCCACGCCCCACCCCAGCTGGGCAGTGTCTCCTGCCCCACCTGGACTGGGCAGTGTCTCCTGCCCCAGCCCTAGCCCCACTCCCTTCCTCACTGTGGAGGCCTCAATCTGCCCCCACGTGCCTTTTCTTCCCTCTCCCCTTCCACCACAACAAGCTTACCAGCTGGATGTAGCTCTCCAAGCTGCTGAGCTGTGCTCCTGGCTCTATGCATGCTATGGCTGCACGGGGCACTTATCAGCCACATTATCTGCCACATCAGGCAAAAAAAGCCGATTTCTAATATAGTCAATTTTCTTTATTTTGGTGCTGATCCAATATTGGACCGATTGTATGGGTGCACCTCTAGTAAAAACACCACATCCTCCTAGTCTCACCTTGGTGAGAAGTGGCAGCCTTCTCTCCCTCGGGCTTGGGAGCATACCTGTTTGAGCACAACCCAGCTCAGCTCTGTGCCTCAGTTTCCCTGTCTCTGAACCTGCTAGTCCACAGCTTCACTGCTAATCAGCTTGAGGGCCAGGAAAGACTCCAAAAGGCCTTGGAACCCTTTTCCTTGGAGCCTTGAGGGAAGCACTCTCCTCTCCATATTTTCCCTTGATCACAGCCCTCAGATCTCTCGGAGCCGGTGGATGTGTACAGCGACTGGATCGATGCCTGCGAAGCTGCTAATCAATAGGACCAGTGGAGGGGGCAGGGAGAAGCTCCTCTCTGCCCCCAACAGTATTTCCTCTGTGGCAGAGGCAGCACAGGCCCCTTCCCAAGGGTGGGCTAGGAAAGCCAAGGGCCTTTTTATAGCAGTTTTTATGTTATGTGGCTGTTCCAGGACTGTGGGGTGTAGCGTTGGGGCGCTGCTGGGGGCTGGGAGCAGTTTAGACACTGTTGTGGTAGTTAAAGGAGGGGAGTGGGGGTCGTGCTATGCTCGGCCTGGGCAGGGGTAGGGGGTGTGTGGCCCCACAGCTGTGGCATTGGCACCTGGGCAGCCAGGCTAGAGCTGGGCTTCTGGAGACTCCTGGGTTCTTTTCCCCAGGCACGATGCAGCGAATAAACTCCCTTCTTCCTCTGTCTTGACCAGTTTTTTGGCTCTGTCCTTGCTGGCCTGGGTTTCCCCAGCCCTGTTTTACAGACTGCTCCCCACCTCTGCCCTGCAGTGTGTAGCCAGGGTCTTCCTCAGGCCAGGGCTCCTGACACTGACTGGTCCCCCTGCCCCTAGCTTCATACCAGTCCTGGGGTGAGTGCCCAGCACAAGGGAAGATGGGGATGGAGCTGGGAACCCAGGTTCTTACCCTTGGTAGCAAGGTGTGGGGTTAGGTTGGGGATCATCCCTGCGTGCAGGGGGCTGTAGGTGCTATCCCCCTGCCTCTTCCTCCTGTGGTGCCAGCTGACCTTGGAGCTAAACCATGGGAGCGTTGCACCCTCTAGCGGCCAATGCCTTTGCATCAACCTTCTCCAGTGCCTGTCTGTAGTGACATCCATGTGCATGTGTGTGCACATGTGGGATTTGCTCCCCCCTGGCAGCCTAGCTTGTGGGCCTCTCTCTTTCCCCTCTCCCTGGTGCCAGGGAGCTAGGGTGTGTGTGTGTGGCTAATGCCCGTCCCTAGGGTATCCCTAGAACAGGTTCTAGACTCCCTTCTCCCCCGGCGGTTCTGCCCCACCCAGGGCCATGACCTTGGTCCCCAGACCCACCCACAGCCTTCAGCAGAGGCCAGCAGTACCACAGCTTTTCTCTCTCTCTTTATTGTGCCACAGTAAGGGTAACTGGGAGCAGTGCTGGGAGCAGGGGGTGTTCAGCACATGCAGGCGGGACTGGGCTCGGGCCAGAGGCTTCTCCCGAGCGTCTGCATTGCTGCATGGTTAGTCCACAAGCACCAGCTGAGGAGCCGCCCAGGCCTGAAGGTGTTGGGGGCAGGAGGGGTCAAGTACAGGTGTCCTCCCCCTTCCCTTTCACCTGTGGCCCTGAGCCCCGGCCCCTTGCACCCACTGCCTTGCTTGGACAGATCCCCATGTGAGGAGGCCCAGCCCAACCTAGCCCAGCATCCACACCACCCCCCTCCCCACCTTGCACTAGTGAGCAGCACTCACTGCCCCCTCAAACTCAGATCCCCAAGGCCAGGCTCTTGCACACGCTGGTGAGTCCCTCTCCTCTGCCTTGCTCCTGGGGGTTCCACCATGGGGGCTCTGCTTGTATTTTGCACTAAAATAAGGGGGGAGGGTAGAGGTTGGGCTGGGCTGGGCTGGGGCTGTGAGTTGTGGGAAGCTGCTGTCTGTCTGCCTAAAGCTGCAGCCAAGCAGGGGGGCCCTGGCCAGTCCCCTCAGCCCCCGCCCCCCAACACCTTCCTCTCCCCAGCCCCTGGGACTCAGGCGGAGTTGTAGAGCTCATAGAGCTGCTCGTCGCCAGGGTTCAGGCAGTACTTGGGGTCGTAGACTTGACGCGGGAGCCCGTACACGGTCATGCCCTGCTGGGACGCGCCCTTGTTACTGCCCATCTGCAGCGACACATGCAGGGTGTCACAGTGCTCCATGCCCAGTGCTGGCTCGAAGATCTGCCGCTTGGTGCCTGGCGCTGTCATGCCCGACTGCGGGGGGAGGAAGGGGTTAATGGTGCTCCACAGGCTGTGATCCACAGGCTGTGCCCACTCCCACTCTTGCTGTAGGGTCTGGGGTTTCCCTTTGCCAGCAGCTGGGACCCTGGCAGGGAGGAGTTGCCTGATGTCACACTGGGGTGAGGCAGGAATGGGCCTGGACTTGTGGGGGGTGGGGGCTGGGGGCACCAGGGTAGGTTTGAACTCATGTGTGCTTGGCCTGTGGGGCAGGGAGGGCAAGACATGGGGGAGTTCAAGGCCATCCTAGTGGCTGGGGGCGGGGGGGGAGAGTGGCCCCTGGGCTGAGGCAGACTGGGATGAGCTTGCCTGGGATGGGGGCTGAACTCTGTGCCTCCCCACCCCCTGGTCCCTGGCACTGAGGGGGCACTCACTCTTGCCCCCAGGCCAGGCTGGGGGGCAGAGAGGGGGGATTTTCTCTAGCACATCCTGTTCCATCTGCCCTGAGTTGAGTGGATCCAAGAACCAGGGACCCGAGGCTTTCCTGGGGGGTGGGGGAGCTGGGGCTGGCACCCTGACTGAGGCGGGGGAGGGGGGGTCTCACCTGGCTGGCACCCTTGTTGGTGCCCATCTGCAGGGAGGCAGAGGGGGCTCAGCCCAAGCTGTGGGGGTGCCCAGGACCCCCCTCCCCCAAGCCAGCATCCAGCCCCCTCACCTGCAGCCCAATGATGTTGCGTCCTTCCCGCAGCTTCTCAGGCTCGAACCGGCGCTGCTGTTTCTCTGCATACTTGACCCCCACATTCACCTGGTTCCCTTTAGTTTTGGCCTGCAGGATGGAGAGACCCCGGGGTGGGGGAGTAAAAGCTGCCCCAGCCGCTGCAAAGCTGGGGTACCTACAACTGGTATCACATCCTGTTCTAGAGAAAGTACCTCCAATCCTGAGTGTCGTGGCTGGGGCTGGTGTGTGGGGGCAGTTCCCGCTCACCCTGGGCTGGTGTGGACACACATAGCATTTGTCCAAGGGCAGCTCTTCCAAGCACAGTAAGTGTCCCGTCTGTCCATGCCGGGCACTTGGGTGGGTTGGGGGTCTTGTCTGGCTGGGGAGGTTATGAGGGTCTCACCTGATTGGGCAGGGGGATCAGGAGGGTCTCACCTGGCTGGGGTTGGGTGTACTGGGGGCGAGGGCTGGGGAGGTTGGGGGGTGTCTGACCTGGTGGATCGGAGGATGGGGGGATCTTACCTGACTGGCCAGGGCAAGCAGGGTGCTCTGCACCTGGGTGTGGTTGGCATTCTCGAATAGGTCGTTGGCCTCGAAGATGTCATGGGCCTTGACACCATAGCGTGAGATGGCAGTGATGAAGTTCCCAATGTTCTCCAGCTGCCACAGGACAGACACAGAGTCACTGCCAGACACCACCCCTTGTCCCTCCCCCCCATGGCGTTGCTCACTTACCTTGTGCCAGTTCTGTGTGGACTCATTCATCTTGCGTACAGAGCCCGGCTGTAGCTTGTTGATGAGTCTGTGGACAGGTGGAGGCTGAAATGTGACTGCTTCCAAGGAGGGCGCAGGCAGCCACCATAGCACAGCTGGGTGCCTCCCAGTGCTGCCCCTCCCCCCTCCCCAAGCACCCCCCCCAGCTCTCACTCGCACAGGATGACACCGTCCTTCAGCCCCTCCATGAAGTTGTCCCCGATGCGCCGGCCTGTCATTGTCTCAATCCAGGCCCGCAGCTCCTGCTCCCGCAAGGGGTCATACTTCTGGGCCAACTGGTGGGAGGGACAGGGGTCAGAGGTCAGCCTGGCCCCCCATTGCACTGAGAGTGAACCCCTTTGCACCCTGCCAGCCTGGGCTGTTGTGCCTGTGGGGGGACTAGACTCCATATGCCCCCCCATGGGATTCTTCACCCTCCCCCAAAAGTGACAGCCTAGGGCTGACTGGTTTATGAGCCCGCAGTGCCTACGGGGCATCAGGGGGTAAGGCTCCCATGCCTGGTGCCAGGACGATCCTTGGCATGGCTGAGATGTAGCCAGCTCCAGGCTAGGACAAGGTCTGAGGCTGTTCGAAAGGTGGGGGTGTCCAAGATGGACCTGAACATCTGGGTTCCCATCCCCTCCTGCCCTGTAGAGGTCAGGCCTCCACTGCACCTGTTCCCAGCTGCCTGCCTGCCCAGACTTGAAACCAGACCTGGTCCACTGTCTGTAGGGCTTAGGGGAATGTTTCCTCACTAACAAGCTGCTAGCACTGGCTGAGGCCGAGGGTGCTGGGGCCTTGCCTGATCCCAGCTGAGACCAGTGCTGCTCATGTCACCTCCCACCCTGAGAGAAGCATTGCTGGGTTGGGGGGTGCAGCTCAAGGATGCCTTGGTTCTCATTCCCCTCTCCCCACCTCGGCTACAGCCCTGGCATCCCGTAGACACTCCTAGGGATTCCTGTTGCTCCGTGCCCAAAGCCCCCTGGGTCTGGCACCAGGTGGGGAAACTGAGGCACAGAAGCGGAGCTGGGTAGGCCAGCCTCGCCCCTTTCCTCTCCCCCTCCCGGTGCTTGGTGCCAGGGCTGCCTGCCAAAGCAAGCAGCAGGCGCTGGGTGGGAGGAATTCACCAAACTAGGGAGAAAAATGGGGCTGGAGACTTGGCCCTAGGTGCGAGGGGCGGGGGAGGGAGACATAGGAGCTGGGGGGGAGGGGGTGATAGACCCTGCTGTTTGGCACCCCCTACCCCTAGCTCTGCTCCCCTGCAAAGCCTCCCCCCCCCCCCCCAGCAGTGCTGGGGAATGGGTGAATCATTGCTGGGGCTGATGGGGTGGGGGGGGTTCACTCCCTGCTTTGGGAGGGTAGTAGGATGGGGGGGAGGTAAGAGCAGGTGGGGTTGGGAGCCCAGACAGCTGGGTTCTCTCCCTGCTCTGGGAGGGGGGCTCTCATGGGGACTCTGGATGCCTGGGTTCCATCCCAGTGCACAGTGCTGCTTCCTTGATGGCGGGGTGGGAAGCGGGCTGATCTCCTTAGGCCTTGGTTTCCCCGGTTACATCCACGGGGCCTTGGCACAGCGAAGGCCTGGGCTGCCACTTCCCCAGAGCACATACAGATCCCAGACATCCAGGCTTCCCACACCCTGCTCTAACCCTTGCGCTCCACTGTCCACCTAGAGCTGGGAGAGAACCCAGGTGTCCAGGCTCCCAGCCTCACCTGCTTTCGCCTGCCAGGCCCCCACTCCCTTCCCAGAGCTGGGGAGAACCTAGGTATCAAGCTTCCAGGGACACCCCCCTGCTCTAACACCCCAGTCCCCACCTCCTCCCAGAATCAAGATCCCAGGCATCCAAGCTCTCAGCCCCCACTGCTCTCAACCCTCCCACTGAGAACAAACACCTGCCCACATCTGGCTGGGGGGAGGTTAGGGGGAGTCACTGTACCCCCACTAGGGGGTCTCTCAGTTTCCTGGGGGGGTCAGAGCAGGGCCCTGGCCAGCTGGCAGGGGCGCTTGGGGGGGGGGTGTCCTGCGCCAGGGTCTGAATGTGGCTCCAGGCCTTATATAGCGTCTCCCTGCGCCACAGAGATTCCCCAAAGCCGGCCTTATATGGGCAGCAGCTCCA